AGTAGACCAGTCCCAGAGTCTGTCCAGAGCATGCTGTATGGCTTCAGAACCTCCAGGGACATTTACAACTTTCCATATCTCAAGGTCATCAGCTAACAATAGAGATGATACCCCAAGCTCTCCGGGGAAATCATTTACGTAGATGGAGAACAGCATCGGTCCAAGGTCCGAGCTCTGTGGGACACCGCTAACGACAGCTTGCCTAAAGAATAAGCTGCGACCCACACGTACACACTGCTTTCTTCCACGCAAGAATGCAGACATCCAGTGAAGGGCGCGGCCAAATACGCCGTAGGAGCTCAGCTTTTGTGATAGCCTCAATTAGGGTACCTTATCAAATGCTTTCGAGAAGTCAACGAAAAGCACCTTTACTATGAGGCCATTCTCCACTGCCTCGGCCCAAACTTCACGAGCAACCAACAAATTCGTCAGACACGAAGACCCCCTTCCGGAATTCATGTTGTGCACTACTGAGTAGATTCAATCTATACAGGTGACTTTCCAACGAGTCTCAGCATCTTTTCAAGCAGTTTGACCACGACACTAGTCAGATTGACTGGCCTATAATTGGCTGACACACTCCTGTCGCCATTGTTAAAGATAGGGCATGACAGCATCCTTCCATTTAGGATATAATGTACAGCTGTCAAGTGACTCATGAAACACCATTGTCAGCGCTTCACTTAGTTCCATCGCCAACTCATGCAGTAGCTTCGGGTGCATTGAATCAAGTCCAGCTGCATTAGTATGGTTCAGTCCTTGCAGCAGCCTAAGGACTTGCGTTTCCACCACCGTAAACAGCTAAATATGAACCCTCAGGTACTCTGGGGACAAGGCCAACGATAGTTAACGCGGCCTGATGTACAAAGGCCCCTGAATACTGCTCAGGAGCCTTATCTGAGTCCGCCTACGCATGAGTTCCATCGGTCAGCAGGAAAGTTGGAATCACCGAATTTGAACCACAGCATCTCTTAACATAAGCGTAGAACTTCGGATTTTCTGAAGCTCTATCAGCCAATTCCTTTTCATACAGCAGCCGAGCTTTCCTTAAGTGTTGTTTACAACTATTTTTTGTCTCCCGTTAGCTATCATAGGTGCTAGTTGATGGAGCTGCACGGTAGGTCCTCCAGCACGTAGAACGCTTCTGGAGCAGGTATATATATATATATATATATTTTGCAAAGTCTGCTAACAGACATAATGCCATCAGAAACGATGGGATTCAAACGAACGTACAGAAACAGCAAAATAAAACACAACACAACAATGTCCATGGTTTCCTCAGAGCTCGAGATACTACCCGGTTGCCCAAGCCGAAGTAGAGTATTGACTTAGGGGACACCACCCCGAGCCTTTGGCTGAATAGCCTGCCCGCAAGGCAGCGGAGCGAATTCAGGGAATCGCGCTCATTGCTCAGTTCATACGCCTTTCGTCTGTTCCTTTGTCAAACAGGGGCCCAATGCTCACCAGAAGTACAGCATAAGGTTGCTGGAATACAATGCTTCGCCAGGATGAAGCAAGGGGCAGTGACTTTATTTAGTTGCGAGTCACGTCCGCCACGTCACAGTGTTGTTAAACGGACATATGTGGCGTTTTATAGGGAGAAAGCTTGTCAGGCAAAAACCCACCACGTCCTGGAACACTGTCGCCGAACCATTCGCTTTAACGGGAAAGTCCCGAACCACCCAGCTGGCACCACGAGGAGGTTGTTCGGCAAGCCAGCCTAATAATGTGTCAGCTGTACGCCGTAACGGCGCTTCGCTGCCGCGCGACCACCACCAGTTGCGCGCGGGCTGAGTATACCGCAAGGACGCCCACCCCTACGCGGATTCGAACCGTTGACCTTATGGTTGCAAAGCAAACGTGCAGACCACTCGGCCACCGGACGACTCTGGAGCAGGTACTTGCCATTGGTATCTATCCACGACGGCTGTGCTCGTGTCTCCTTTCTCCCCGCAATTGGGATGTGGGGAGTAGATACTTCCGTGAGATAAGACTTTATTTATCCCAGGCCACCTGAACCGTATTGACCACCGAGATTTCGCAACGCAACCCAGAAGCCTTGATACGCATTGCCTGATAGCACGCCATATTTTTGGAAATGACTTAGCGATGCTCTGATGACGCCTTGTCAGAGTACACCTGAACAAACATGATCACTAGAACCTAAGGAAAGTTGTAAGTGATATCATCTACGAAGTCTAGTGACTTGGCAAACACTAGATCCAAAGTAGACGGTAGTGGGGCATTCATGTACCTAGTGGGGAGGTCCACGAACTATTGCAGCGGTACTTGTAGCGTAAGCTCACGAAGATCACCGATAGTACCTACCGCCGAGTTGCCAGAAAGATGTGTCCTGCATACTTCCGGTAGATTGGAATCCCCCAGTATCAAACACTTGTTTTTAGATGGTAAGCGACTAAAGTCAAACACCTCTTTGGACGCACTCCCAGGGCTTCTGTACACGATCACAACTATAAGTTGAGCTGAAGAATAGCCAGTCACTACCTACAGAGTTTTGATAATTTTCTCTGCCCACTGAAACATGAGGGTACGTTAAACGTCAAGTCCACAACTAACGTCAAGCGCAACGCCCCGACCATGTCGGCCAACGGAGAGACGACATATAAATAGTGCGTAGCCTGGCAGATGTACTTCACCGTCGGTGACGCCCTGAGACAGCCACGTTTCATTGAATGCAAATATATCTGGACGAGATACACCTACAAGCAGACCCATCTCGCACACCTTATTCATTAGGCTACGCACACAGCTCAGCACCACCTGAAGGTACTCGTAATGTCCAGCCCTGAGTCGTGCGCTACCAGTACTGGCACTGGTAGGGAGGAAAAGGACCCCCGGCCGACCACCCGAAAACCCACAAACCGGAGGCCTGGTTCACCGGCCGCTCGCCTGGTTTTGTAGTCCTTAATGGCCTCTTAGCTCTAACCTGTCGGTTAATGGGAGGTCTGGCTGAATGCTAGCATTAGTATCCTTCAGTTTGAAGGCAAACCGCAACTGCATGTGGCGTTCCTCCGTGGTGGATAGGACCACACGAAGAGTTTCGGGCGTTAAGTGGGACGTTACCCAACCTAGTCAATATCCTGACAGTAACACCGGAAAACCAAGGCGGGAGAAGCTTTGTTACGCACACCTTAAACCACTGTAAGGTAATAAGGTGTCAGCTGTACGCCGTAACGGCGCTTCGCTGCCGCGCGACCACCACCAGTTGCGCGCGGGCTGAGTATACCGCGAGGACGCTCACCCATACGCGGATTCGAACCGGTGACCTTATGATTGCAAAGCAAACGTGCAGACCACTCGGCCACCGGCCAACTATACCACTGTAGGTCGTCCAGCGTACGTTTGGCAGGAAGTGCGGCAGTGGGTTCCACTGCGTTACGGAAAATCATGCTGCTATCCATGAAAGAATCACCTCGACAGGGTGTATTTACGCCACGAGTTTTGAAATTTATATGAACATAATGCCGACTTAGCCGCAGTCAGTGATGCTGGGCGCACGTTATCAGACGACTCTGAAGCAACTGTAGCGTACTTCTTCTTGGGTATGCCTCCCGTTTTCTTTTTATGTATGTATTGAGGTGTAAGAAATCAAGAATATACGGCTTTTAGGAATACTGTATTTAATTCTAGGAATCATGAAATGATTGCAACTGGACTCATTGGGACTTTGCGAAGTAAACTGTGAACGCAAAGTAAACAGTGCTTATTAAGTTGTTATTGATTCACAGTGCACTTCAAGTCATTTTAAGTGGTAAATTTTGAAGCAGTTCTCCTTGTTTAAACAGAATGAAACATTACATTTTCCACACTTTATTCTACTATACCTTTGGATACACAGTTTGCATTTTTATTTGTTACCTGAATATTTTGGCCAGTGACCCACGCCATCGTACCGTACATCAGCAATAGGACGAGGTGCCTTTTCAACTCCTCTTTGGTTGGTTTTCCGCTGGGCTATCTGATGGTCCTCTTTTCCTTGGTTCAATCGTTTTCCTTTTCACAAGGGCAGCAGCTATGTTCCACTCAAAAGCGATTATTAGTTGGTGCTTTTCTTTTTTATCAGTGTCTCCTATACCAAAGCCATGCATTCACGCATGCCATATTTATGGAATGAAGTGTTATTCTTAGGTAGAAGCGACGACTCGTGATGTAAGTACGATACAGCTGAACAAGCATGTCGTGCAAATCAACGCCTCCCATGAATATGTTGTATGCTTTTACAATAGTTGGGCTAGGGATACTCACATACGGATTAGCACCAACAGACCACCTTCTCACATTTTAACGGGTACGTAACTTTTGTTAGTGAAGATCACGTGTACAGCCTTATTGTCAAACCATTTCACCAGCGTGACATTTTAATTAGTTTCAATTCTAGAATCATAGGAGCCTCTGCCACTCTTTTTCAGTGAGGCATCTGTCTTCAAAACACAGCCTGGCAACCTGTTCTTTCTGACAGCCCCCCATGTGTAGAACTAAAATTCTACAGCCAGATCAAAGGAGCTGAACTAGTTGTCAATAAATAACTTATGATTCTGGTGTTTAGGCAAATCTTCAACTAGCCTAAGGACAGCATTGTCACGTATGCCTAGAGGACTATCTTTCACATTTGTCCACTTGCCTACATAAATTTCAGTCATGGACAATCACACTTACTCCAGCCCGTGTGAATACGTTGATACTTCGTCGGTGTGGTTTTCGCTTCACATATTGGATTGGTACTTGCAGTAGGCTCGTATCGTATAGAAACAGCCCAGTACATTCTGCATTTCGGAACAGTAAACAACGGATAAAATTTGAATACCAATAAATTGGCCCGTTTCAATCACTGTTGTGTTGCTAGACTTGTGTATTTTGTGTAGAATACAGGTTTGTTCGATCAACCAAATTTTCAATGACTGCTATCTGTAAATTTTTCAGAACAATTCAGTGGACTCGTCTTCATTTGGAAGATCAGAAAAAGTGGAATGATGCATCACATATACTGGTTCCATATTTTCGGCTCGCCAACATTTACTCCTTATCTACTGAAAGCTCAGCTTCATTTTGTCTTCCAAGTCGCATATTGAGGAATGCGTCATCTTCCTCATTGTGCTCTTCTTCCGCACTTTCACCAGCGTTACTTGTGTGAATCTCCATAGGAATGCTGCAGGTGTATGGATTCATAGTTTTACCTGCAACATCCCCATCTTCCAAAACTCTGCCCCGAACAGCCGTTGCCATTGCCACCTCGTCTGAAACCCTTTCAACATCGTCGTCAGCATTTGCCATATCTTCCATTTGGAGTGTCAAGTCTAATTTGAGAGAAAATCGGCTTGACATATGCTAAAAGAAAAACTATGTATAAATAATATACTGTGACACAATAGCTCGTAAAATATCTAAAACCTGACTAGCATATCAGAAAAATAATAGATCTTACAACACATTCAATATCTACTTAGAATCTGTCTACTATATATTTTACCCTCATAAACACTACAAGTGATAGAACACAGCAGAAGAAGCTAACTAATTCGCCAAGTATCTGTAAAGTCCCTTATAAACAAACAGCTCCACCCATTCGCATGTATATGGCCTGTTGCTTCCAAATGAAATCACTAAATTTGGGTTTACTATACTCAACTTGTGAGCTTATGTTCTATTTCCTAATAGACGCATCTTGTTCTTCAATAAGAAACTATTGTTGGCAAAACATTTTTGCAAAATACATACCTGAGATAATTTCGGACAGTTCCGAGGGGTCGGGTAAACGCAACCCACTGTGTAAATCAGCAAACGAAAGAAATCACCATTTGCGCCCTAGTTCGAACTGAAACGGGAAACTGCTACCACCTCTCGGCAAGGACCAGTAACTACGCCGTACGAGAACATTTGGAAACATCCATTACATCGTTTGCGGTAAAAAGAAACCAAGAGCGGTAGTGATTCCAACTGGAATCTCTCGGACATATAGGGTTAAGAACCATAATTGTTCTCCTATCTAGGGCTGGACAACATGACAGTATCCTATCCACACCATACAACACAATTAATGCTCTTGCCGTCGCGGAAGGTAGTGGACGGCGTCCTAGCTACTGCATCGAGCAGCGTAGATCATCATCATCAATGCATGTTAGTTGAGGGTGAGAAACACACCTCAACTCATGTGCCGTAATAAAATAAATAAGATAAGAAACAAATTACAGTAAAAAAGATTCCGAGTAAGTAATTTGATGTAAAATATAATACTGTGCGTTATGTATGAGATCTGCAGTGCAGGGGGACGAGGAAACTCACAGCACAAGCGCCATTGGGGCCGGCTCCTAACCATATCAGCAACTGTGTCCAAACAAACTTGTTCATGGTCTCTCGGACCCCAGCCAGGCATTCGGGATGCACCAACCGGCCCCATCCTCGAAGTGAGGGCTTTCATTTCTCTCGACCGTCATCACATGGCCTTTCTTCCTCCTCTTTCAATCAAACACCCGGCGCGCAAACAATGCACTTCGCGGGAGTCGCTGCGCTGGCATGCGCAACACGTGTCCCAGTCATCGCAACCTGGTGCGCGACATACTGTGGCTGATCAGTTCACTCGCTCTTCTTGTCGCATGTGAGGGATCGCATGGTAAGCACGGAGCTCTAATTTTTCAGGCGGGTTTCGGATAAACAGCAAATATTGATCGACAGGTTCCCGAGTGTTAGGGTAAGTGTTGCCTGTTGGCTAATTTGTTGCAAAGTACGCACCTTGAAGTATGCGAGTCCTAGCGATGATCGAGGACTCCAAAAAGAAACGGACGAACTGACGTTGTCTGCTTGGTTAAACATGGACTTGTCGACTGGATTATGGCGATGCTCTACGACTGTGTGTTCTGAAACCTGAAGACAAACGACAATCGAAGCAACATAAGGGTGGCCAAGAATTCGGAGATTGACGCGGGGGCTAAAAGTGAGACCAGAGCGGGACGATAAGAATGAAAAAGCGCAAGAAGGAGAATTAGACGACGTGAAAGCCTGAGCAGTAGCACCCAAACCCCTATTCACCCTGCTCGATACAATAGATAGAGCAAGAAGACTGAGCTTGTCTGGCCTCTAACCATTAACCAATCTGATATTAGTGACTGAAGGTACAGAAAGCACCACTTAGCATAGCTCAATGGATCACGGAGGCACACAAATCATCGCACCAACTTAAGGTCCTGTCCCGTCACGATGGGAGCAGCGTGGATATGGACAAGGTTGCTACTGCTCAATCCTTCCCGTCTTCTTATTCCCCTTCTTGCCAATTAAATCTTATCGTCTTGTTCCATCTTCGCTTCTATCCAATCCCCGGTTTCAATAACCAAATTCTTATACCCCACCATGCTTTGATAAGTGTTTATCTTCTAGTGTCAAATCATGCAAACGCGGAGCGTCACTCCTTACCTATGGACAAGCCCCTGTCTAACCAACATGTCAAGCCTAGTTCATCGGCTTCTATTTGGAGCCCTCGATCTTCCCTCAAATTGACATGTCTCAATGCACGCACATTGCTACAGATCAGTCAATAGGCAGCAGTTGCCCGAACCTTAGTGACCCTCACGTAGGATATCTGCTGCTTATCGGAAACGCGTCTGCAAGACTCAAGCTCTGTACTCGCTTTGCCATCTCCTTCAGTTGACACTAGCAGTGCTTCCTCATTGCGCCCATCCAGAGACGATGCGGTTTCGTATGCCGACCAAGACGGTGTTGGTATTTTCCTGAATCCCCGGGCTGAAGTTGCCCTAGTTGATCCTAAACCCCATCCGCATCCGGATATGTGCGATCCGACTGGCTGGCTCGTTCAAAGTTTCGAAGTCACGCGGGACTAATAGGTGTCTGCTTGTCATCGCTGCCCACGCGCTTACAAACTTCAGCGATGACTCGGTAAAAGACGACTTCTACCGCCAACTGAACGAGCTCCTTCGCCACAGATGTAGCACGGATATTGTAGTGCACGCTGGGGATCTGAACGCTCATGTGGAGAAGTGTCTACTGATGAGTTACAGCTGGGTGGGGAACATGAGATAGGCTCCCGTATTGATAACAGCGAATGGTTACTTCATTTGTGTGATCATGCTCGCATATTTCTTGCGAGCACTAACTTCCGATAAAACACTCGTCGAACGGTGACATTGCGCCTACCAGTCTCGAACCAGCCGTGGAGGCAGATCGATCACATTGTATTCAGTTACCGCTGGAGATGCTGCGTACCAAACTGTCGCTGAATTTGGTACACATGTGTGGACGCTCACCACGCACTTGTATGTGCTGATCTGCGAGTGCGTTTTGACGGACGCACACGACGACGCTATGCGTGCATAGACACCAACCAACTAGCGAAGCCAGATGTTCTAAATGCGTATCGAAGTACGCTGGCGCTCATTGCAAACAGTTACAGGTCACTGGTCGCATGTTCATCATACGTTGGTAGCAGACGTCAAATCCTCATGTGATAAATCCAATAGCCAACATGGACGTTGGGTATTTTCCCGGTTTCTGGAACTTATCGACGTTTCACGGCACATTCCGGCTGGAAGAAAACACGAGACTCGCAAAGAGTTCAGGGCACAACTGCGTGCTAGCCTGGAAAGAGACCGCGAAACCTGGTGTTCTCATGGTGCGTCAGAGGTGGAAGTGGTCGCTGCCCTTGGTAACCACCGGGAAACGGGCAGCAAGAGACCTAGTGTTAGCGAAACTATTCCCGACGAGAGTGGACAGTCTGTTCACAACTTGGGAGCGTTGGGCTGAGTATTTTGGAAGGCAATTTAATCGGCCTGAAACGTTAGATTTCTCATTGGTCAGTGACCGCCTTGTTCTCTAGGCTATTCTTTTGTATCCACCCTCTCGTTCAGAAGTAGAACGTGAGATCGGGCTGCTGAAGTTGATTGAAGCCGCGGGATCAGATTGTCTGCATCCTGCCCTCTTCAAATTCGGATGCCTTGCTCCTTTTGATAATTTATACTAGTGTAACTGTGAGAACAGGAAACTGTCCCAACCGTTTGAATCCACTCCGTTATTGTCCCCATCCTCAAGGGTGGCTCACGTTCAGAATGCAGCAACCATGGAGGAAGCAATCTGATCTCCATCGCCTACAAATTGATTTTCACAGCCATCCTTCACAGATTGGCACTCGTGAAGGCCAGATTCGTGAAGAGCAAGCCGGGTTGCGTCGAGGTTGCGTCGCGCATATTGGCGGCCCACGGTGGTCTTGTTCCTTGATCTCATTGGGACCTTTGGTACTGTCTATTCAAGAAAGATGTAACTAAGAAATAGGTAAATATTATCCGAGTGCTTTACGCGCGTAGCTCGTTCAGGGTGATGGCTTTCTGCTGGCTGTCGCTGCCCTTCCGTATTTCCAGCTGTGTGAGACAAGATTGTTCGGTGTCACCTTTTTTCTTCAATTTCGCTATTGACGAAGTCATGGAAACGGTGTTCGCCGATCACGGCTTTAAAAGTGTGAGGATGCTCTCAGGCGAACGACTTAACTTGGAGTATGATGACGGAATTTCCGTAATCTGTGACATCTCCGAAACGTGCCAAGCGGCACTGGTCCGATTAGCACTGGCTTTCACCCGGTTCGGACTGTGCTTCGCATCATCGAAGTGTAAAGCTTTACTTCAAGATTGGCAGGGACTGCATTTTGCGCTTTCCGTTGGTGTGGATCAGGTAGAAGTCGTACGATATTCAACTACCAAAGCTGCTGTATCGGCGCTGTTGGAATCGAAGTCGTAGTCACGAACCGTAAAGCAGTAACAGGAGGCGCATTTACTAACTTGCGCCAATTATGGCGCCGGCGCGACGTCACTCTGTCCCTGAAGTGCAGGGTGTACAAAGCTGCCATAGGTTCGACCCTACTGTACGGTTGTGAAACCCGACCCAATAGATCAGCCGATATAAAAAAGCTAGTTACCTTCGAGCACTGGTACCTTTGCAGTTTGGCTCACATCTGGTTGGAACACAGTGTGAGCAATGAGCGTGTTCTACGTATTATTAATCACACTGAAGGGAAAGTGAACCGCTCAGCCCCCATATATCACACACCAGGGGTCAGAATGGTTGTTATTTGGCAGCGAAGCATCGGTATGGCCTACTGGCGTACTGTTGAAACCTTTTTTCTTAATCGACCATGAACTTAGAAGCCTACCATAAACATTGTGCGATGGTTGGGTGCACATTGCTTGCTGCAATTTCGATGCATGTCTCTATGAAAGCCTTCAGCGGTCACCCTCCTCGATTATCTGCTTCCTTTGTAACTCACGTTGAGTCGTACTGATAGTTAAGCGCTTTGCAATCGTTCTAGCACCGCTCAGTTTACTTCACGT